GAGCCACTGTGAAGTACCTGTAGTATATTAGGTTGTCACTAGATGGCGCCATACTCAAGCACAAAAAATCGTCAATCGCAACTCATCTGCCAAGTTGGCTTTTGCTGTGTGTAACTATTGAAATCTGTCAGCTACAAAATATTGACACAGTATCACTTTGCTGGTATTACGATGCATTACAGTGTAAACAAGTGTAGCTGGTACTGAACCTACAACTTTCAGCTTTGACTAGTTTCATTATATTTTGCAATTTGAGATGTTTTGCATTAAATAAAGTCACCTGTAAAATAAATAAATAAGTATCTAGCCTTATTGTAAAGAGTAAACGTAACGTAATAGAGTACAGTGTATCAGCGCACCCACGTGTGGGCTATTGAACCAAGTGGAAAATATGATGCTTTGTCCTATCCCATCCATCCATTTAAACACACATTTTGCCCCAGGGAATATAATTCATGTAAACCACAATAATAAAAACAGGAACACTGATGCAAGAAAACACACCACAAACAAGTTTTAAAATGAAAGAAAAAAGTGAGCAACATAGGCCTAAAATAACTAGTTTAGATATGCATCCAGTAAGTTTTATATGCAGTCATGGTGGGTTCCACCTCCATGATTCAGAAGCTTGTAGAAGTACCTCTGGCAGTTTTCTGTTTGACTTTATCGATGTGTCACATCACATCATTGTGGAAGAGTTTTAGGCCCCGCTCGTCTTTACAGCGTTGCTTCAGCTCATTGAGGTTTGCAGGAATTCATTCATGCTCAGCTCTTTTCAGTCAGGTTGAGTTTTGTACTTTGACTGGATCATTGCAGCGCATTAATTCTTTTGCTTTTTTTTTTTTTTTGCCAATTTTTATCTGTTGGACAGATGTCTCCACATTTCATTCTGCATTGGTATACAGAGGAGCTCACGGTTGACTCAGTGACTGCTAGGTGCCCAAATCAGCACACTTCCACCACCATGCTCACAGTTGGTATAAGGGGTTTGGGCTGATAAGTTATGTTTGGGTGTCTCCAAACATGGTGCTGTGCGTTATGGACAAACAAATGGATGTTGTTCCAGAAGTCTTATGGACTGTTCATTTGCAACTTTGCCAACCTAAGCTGTGCTGCCATGTTATTTTTAGAGAGGAGGCTTTCTCCTGGCAACCCTTCCAAAGAAGCCAACGTGTTCTGTCTTTTTCTAATTTTATTGTCATGAACTTTAACCTTTAACATGCTAACTGGGGCCTGTAGAGTCTGAGATGGAGCTCCTGGGTTTTTGCAGTTTTTCTGAGCATTGCTCAGTCTGACCTTGAGGGGAATTTGTTGGGAAATTGCACAGTAAGCCTGTAGGCTACTTACTGTTTTACATAGCTGAACAGAAAACTTGGTTTTTCACCTGACTGTGTGTAAGTATGTAAGTATGTATAGATTTTTCTCATACATCCAGGCGCAGGTTTGTTGTACTTTACTTGATTATTTCCATTTTCATACTGCAGATGGAAATTTAATCTGTACTTCAGTGCACGCAGTTAATTGACCCACTTTTAGATCAAAACTACCCCAGAATGCAAAGCAAGGCGAGCAGAAAGAGAAAAGCGATTCCTGCAGATCAACCTGATGTCCAGGAAATACATGCATAGATCTGTATTCGTTTCTTCTTTTGGCAGTTTCTCCTGTAATATAAATGTAAAACTATTTAAAATAGTTTTACTATTTAAAATAGTTTTAAGTCATTTAACTTGTGAATGCACAGTAATAAAATCTCAGACTTTGGTTTCAGGATATCTTTTTCCCTCGCCTGACAAAAGCTTGCAAACTCTCCAGCCTCCCTGTCCTGTGCGGGATGGGCGGTCACTGCGCTTTTTCTCCCTATAAAGGAGAGGAGGCATGGACCTGTTGCGCTCTAATCGCCAAGCTGCCAGCGCAGAAAGCGAGCCTGCTCCCTGAATGCTCAGCGTGTATCAGCAATCTGCTGCACCGATGGATTTTAAGGAGCTTGGAGACGGCTCGTCCTCCGAGGGCGACACGGAGGATCTGGACAGCGTGAAAGCGCTCACGGAGAAGCTGAAGTTACAGACCCGCAGACCGTCCTACCTCGAGTGGCAGGAGCGCGTACAGAGCCGAGCCTGGAAGGAAAGAAATTCCGCGGACGGTCCCGAATCAGGAGGACAGCAAGTCGTTTCCGTGCCGGCAATTTTGAGGAGGTCAGAACTGGTTGTGGGCAGCATCTGTGGCTTTGACACTATGGACGATGCCCTGGAGCATCTTAGAAAAGAGCTGGTGAGTTCCTCCAGAAATGTGATTTGATTTTTATCTAAAGATGCGTCAAGCCCTGAGAAATAATTTGCACTTCTTGATAATCTCCAATCATTAAAACAAATTAATAAATAAGTAAATAAATAAATAATACAGAGTCCTTATCCATTCTTGAGAAATACAGATAGCTATCTATCTCCTACTTCACCTTTAAAACAGATAGGCATCTCTTTAGGTGTCAGTGATCTTGCTTGCATGACTGCTTGTCTTAACTTAAGGGAAAGAAGTCTAAACACACAGATTGCGAAACAATATGGTGCCTGTTTTCTCATAAGCTGCAACCCATCTAGTCCACATGATTTTTACCCTTTGATGAGGAGATAGGCACCATCCAAAACCAAACTTCCACATATGTTCTGCTAAACTGAACACTGAAACTCACTTTCTTCTCAAACGCGCTCCCTCCACCCCTCCTCTACCCTCAGAGGGAAATGCAAGTTCAGGACAACCGACTGGCCCGTCAGCTGATCCGTCTGCGGGTGGAGATCCATCGGCTCAAAGTGGAGCAAGTGTGCCACCGTCACAAGGAGATGCTGGACGACGCAACGTACGAGCTGGAGGAGTGCGGAGAGGAGTCGGACCTGCTGTGTGATATCCCCATGAAGGCTGCCTTTGCTCTGTCCACCCCTCTAAAACATCTGGGCCTCACCAAGATGAATATCAACTCCAGGCGTTTCTCACTGTGTTAAAGACCGCAGGCCTCACTCATGCCACCGAGGACGCTCCGTCACCTCCTCTGTGTTTGTGTAGGCATTATTGTTATAAAGGGTTATTTCCGTTGATGGCGCAGTGGGGCAAAAGTAAAGATGAGCCACTAGCAGCTGTGAATGAAAATGAAAACGATGATGACTTTGATGTGTGCCTTGGTATGACATGCATGAGGAAGCCTGTGCATACAGACCTGCAGGGGCATACACCTTTATCATCACGCAGCTTCCTGCTGGATGAAGTCTGGGCAGCTCTGCTGTTGACTGAGAGAATTAATGAAGACTAAGAGCTAGACTGAAGTATACTCAGTGAACTGAGTATATTTTTAATATCAGAAACCAAGGTGATTTGGTGATGCAAATTCATATTGAACAAAGAAGTTTAAGTGGGACAATAACTCATTTATAAATCTGTTCATATTCTTGGACTCTGCAGGAGTGCAGTAGAAATTCACATTTCAAATATGCCTTATTTACCTTCTACTGAGTTCACTCCACCCACTGTTAGAAACGAGCTCCCCGAAGCCACCTTTATTGTGATTGGCTGCCCCTCTTGAGAAGAGGTGAGGCGATTTTGTTAAGGTTATCCCCTCTCATTGAGGTCATTAGAAAAAACTGTCGGAAACTGTGTTTGGAGCAGTCTGTGCCTGAGCTTTTGGCTCACGGGGATTACTTTGCATACACTGACCTCATTATTGGGAACTTAATTCGTGTTTAATATGACTGTTCTCCATTGTCATGTGCCTAGAACAGATATAACTTATATATACAGTGATTAACACATGCATTAGAGCATGCCTTCGAAAATTACCAAACGAACTTTTAATTTTCTGAAATCTGTCAGCACGTGCAGGCGCTTTAATCAAATTCATATTTGCAATGAAAATAAAATGAAAAATATAATTAATGTTATCTGAGAATTACAGTCATTTACTTGCATTCCTGAACAGAAGCAACAATTTGCCTGATAAAAAAAACAACAGAAAATCTTCTTCTTTTTCTTTTTTTCTTTTTTTTTTTACAGATTTCTAAATCATTTCTGATCTTATTCATTTGACAGAAAATGAGGAAATGTTAGGTCAACTTTAAGGTTATACAGAAATGAAAGTAGCCCTCCCACATGTTCAGGTCACACTACCTTACATCACCTCAGAAATTATGCTGCCAGCCTAAATAGGTCTTGGAACAAAAGTGAGATGTTACAATTTAGAAAATGAAATAAAGACAAAACATATTGAAGCTGTTTTCAAGCTTGAATGAAAAAAAAATTACATATTTCCCCTGTGGCCTGCAGTGCTACTCATGCTACTCATCTCTCTGGCTGTGAGTTTCTCACTTTGCCTGGCTTCTCTTCAATAAAATGGAATCTAATAGCGTTCCCCTAAAATACATTTAAATACCTCAGCAGCAACGTCTCTTCTCTGAAATCATGACTCAAGTTTTATTTTTAATCTACCGTGATCTGCCATGTGAGGACTGCAGTTAAGTAAGGTTAAAGCCTCTTTACTTCTTATTTGCCATCATGCTTTTACAAGCATCATGATTAGATAGATGATGTTCACGTCTGCAGATTTTTATTCATTTATTTTTTAAGTAACTGGGTCATGACCTCTGAAAAGAGTCAAATGTATTCCCATCAAATATATTTTTCGGCACTTTGAATGTCAAGTAAGATTTAGGCAAAGCCATTAACGACCCTTTTAAAAGGTCACGAGCCAAAAAGTTTGGGAAACACAGCTTTACTGAAACTGATGCATGAAGGCAGCTGCTCCTGTCAGGTCTGGGCCGATACAGAAATGCTCAGCAACACGTTGAAGTAAACAAAGTCCTTTAATGCAGACACTTACAGCAGCCACAGGCAGGTCACACTCCAGCATTTTTTACACCTCTTCTTCACAAACCAAAAATATCTCTGCAACCTAGCAGCTGCAGTGACACAAACCAGGAGCTCGTGTCCGATGTTCTTTGTTTTTCATTAGCACGTCAGGATGCTGCAGAGCACTGATTTTAGACTATATGTGGCTGGCCAGTGACCAAGTGTATTTTATGTTTTAAATGATTTTGTCTTTAGTTGAGTTTTTTAAAGAATGAATGAATTTAACTTTGGTTGCATTAAAAGTGTAAAACATCTATTAAATGTATTATTCTATGCAGATTGTTAAATCAAGTTGTAATATGAATGTAATGACTTAACTGAATGAATATATATAAAAAACGCCTTAAAGTGTAAATTCCTAAATCTTTTTCTTTCACATAAAAGACATATTAAAGAGGTTTTATTTATCATATTTGAATCAGTTATAATAACTATATGATGGGAGACAGTGTTACACCTGCCTGTTCAGAATGGGTCACAGCTTTCTCAAAAAAACCTCTCATCTGAGCAACGTAAGTGTCTCAGGAAACCACACAGCGAATAGAGTGAAATGAAAACATTCCCAGCCATCTTTTTCAGAAACAGGTTGAGGTTTCGAGCGTTTAGAGTCATGATATTTTGTAAAAGCTTGAAAGTTTTGGTTAGATATCTCTTTTCTTTCTTTCTTTTAAACAGCCTTTTTGTAAGTAGTTTTGGTTGAAGTTAGAATTAGGGTTAGGCTTGTTCTGAGATGGGAGGAGCAGACATGAGTATGGATGAACAGAGATATGAAATGCTGATGATTGTATGATTTCTGTCGGTGTCAGTGAGGGAAAACATCCCCACATGTTCCAGCACATCCATCTCCATCATCCACCCTCGGTCCTAAAGCCACCCAGGCACAACGGTATCTTCTTTCCTTCCCAAGAGACAGCCATGACCTGCTATAACACTCAGACGTATGAAAGGGGCCCTGGAGGGATGTGCAGAAGCAGACATAGTCAAGCTCGACACCAAATATGCCTTGGCAGAGCGCGGACGCCGTGTTAAATGAGAGCGCAACTAAGACTGTTGAAATGATCACAAGTGGCATACTTCAGGAGCTGTGTGATCTCATGTGGGTCGCGGGACCTCAATAGTTAGACACATGGAAATGAGTATCATATGGAAGACACAGAGGATTAAGTACTACGGCTTGAGGCCATATTCTTGAGTGAATGCTTTCAGAATAAAGGGCTGCAGACTTGTGTTTCTCAGGCTGCTCATTCTTTGCCCTGTAGATACTTTCCCGTGACCCTTTTTCGCCCGTATCTTTCTGCTTGCCATCAAACCAGCAGAAGATATTACAGTGTAAATAAAGAATAGTAATCCATCTGTTTATCATAAAGCCAAGTAAGCCTACATGATGCACATGAGTAAGCACTAGAGACAAAAAAAAGAGCCCTCATTTACATTCACGAAAGAGGCCAGCACCTGCATCATGTAGCAGGAGGTAGGAGGTCTGGAAAACTTTCTGCACACTGATAGCATCGCAGTTTGATTGCGTAACAGAATGTGATTTCCAACCACATTTGGAAGTAGTGACAACTGTGGTCGAGAGGAAGAAAGGAATACCCTTAAAGCTCCAGAAGGCCTGGACAAAGCCGATCTCCAAACATGGCGGGACACTTTTCCTCCCAGCACGTATCAAAGAAGAGTTCTTGGATGATTAGACTTTATCTTCAGTCACATGCACCTACCTATTTACATCACTCTCAAAATTAAAAAAGAAAAAAGAAAAATGAAGCACATTTCACACATCCTCCTAGATTTATACTCTGCACTTTAACGGAAAAAAGAGTGAACTCAGGTGGTTTCATCATGAGTGAGACTTAATCTATGCTGTGGCAGTCTTCTAAGCACATATTTCTGTGCACTTCCTGTAATGTTTGGACTGACTTCCTGCTAGTGCACGCTATGTAGCAGCAGCCGTTCACCACAAGAGAAGAGATGCGGTCCACGGCTAGAGTTGTATGAAATGTCGAAAATGCGACAGCACAGGCTTAGAGGGTGTTAGCAGGCAGAGAGGTTTTTACTTTATGCCTTCTCTCGAGTAGAAATGTGACCATGAGACAGCCTGCTAGAGCTAAAATTATGATTCTATGTTACAAAATGTTCTATAAAGGAGATGTGGAGCTTGTGACGAGGCTTTTCTCTTTATATTTTCACATTTTTTAATAGTAAGCTGAGTAAACCAAGACCAAAGGTTAATTTTAAAGCCTTTTTTGGCCACAGACAAGAATATCCTCAAACCACATGTTTGACTAAAAAAGAAAACTTTGTAGTCTTGTTGACTTAACACCTGGGGCATAAAACCACGACACAGGAAATGCAACTGTCCCGAGTGCTGCAAGATATTCAAATATCTTTTGAACCGCTCTGGACCAACACCTCAGCTGCACACTGAAGATGTTCTTTACTTTAAAGGTCAGCAAGTCGCACGTTAAATGCAAACAGCGAGCGACACAAAAGCGCGGCCTACAAAAGCCCCCCGTCTCTAAACTGTTTTGGAAAATTCATGTCTTGTTCCGTGTTTGGGAAAGGTGCTGTCCTGACCCCTTTACCGTAGAGCCCATAACGTTCCCCCTTGCTCTCACACAGCTGCACAGTAAGCACCTGTTAAAAGCCTGCAGAGCAACCCTCAACCTTTCAACGACAGGAAACTCTCTGGGTTGCTCCCCTCCATAGTGCGCATGTGTGCATGCAGGCGCCGCACAAGTGCTCCTGTGATAGTGTTATAATAAGAGAAGCGGATGATGACATCTTCACACCTAGGCTCAAGTGCTGAAAAACTTGCTTGCTGCACTTAAACAGCTCTTTTAAAAAAAAGAAGATTTAAATAAGATTTCCCAATGGCGGCACCTGAAATCTGACATTATTGGACATTATTGGACGCTTGAGGAGACGTTTCATATCCAAAGAGGTGAGTTTCACACGTGTGATTCTTCTTACTTTAAGATTAGGTCAAAGAAGTAAAGTGAAACTGTGATAAAGGTGTAACAGGAAAGGATTTAAACGTCTTTCTTGTCTTAAAGCAAATATTCTACATAAATCTGGGGCTTGTTTTCAAATTTGGTCTCTTCTATGACGTTTACTGAACTTAAAAAAATAACAAATAGCAGCAACGCAAAATAAATCCATAAATAAATGAATAATGTTCAGCCTGCTTCACAACAGTAACAAAGCGCATTCAGATACTAGTTATCTCCTCTGTTGATATAAATCTGCATTACAAGGAAGATGTGACCACAAAAGAACAAACCGTTTTCTTGTAATGAAATACCAACGCTTCTGTAAATCTACTTTATTAATCTGTCTTTAAATAACATTAAAAAAAAAAAGTTTGGGTATTAAAGTATTTTGATACAAAGTTGACACTTCCTATACAAGTTTGTCTGTATATGGAAACAATGTCGACAATGACAACTGTTAAAACGGTAAATAAATTTAACAGTATGCTGTTAAAATGGTGTACCAGCAATTTACATAAAAACTTAAATCAATCGAATATCTATTCCACTCTATTAAAATCTATTCTTTTTTACAAAAATATGATTTTTTTATGGTTTGTTTCTTCAAGCTTCTGAACTGACAATGAGTGACTGAAGTCAAAAGTCTTAAAATCTTGGTTCATCACATCATTTCTGGTACACTTAATATCTGAAGTAGCCTTGGTTACATTGGAAACAATAACAACAACCATCAGTATGATTTTGGAAAAGCCTTCAGATGTCGATGATAAAAAGCAGAGGGTAACCCCTCAGTGGAAAATGCTGACTTGTATTACTCCCCGAGTGTGTGTCAGTAAGTGTAGGAGTGCTGATGATAAAATAAAAACATCTTTATGATCCCTCTGTGATTCCTTTCTTGGGGTCTCAGGGCAGTAGCGGGCTGTTACTCTCCAGATTTTTCTCACGGCTTTGAGCCTTTGGGACAGACGGCTGCTGCGATTGGCCCACTGACCTTCTTCCATGAATGGTCTGGTGGGAGCCAAGCGAGCCTGAGAAAGCCGGTTCATACAGAGTACCAGTCTAAAACACAATAAACAGAGCACGTGCAGATGCTGGATTATACCAGATTAACACT